GAAGGGAAGGGAAGGGAAGGGAAGGGAAGGGAAGGGAAGGGAAGGGAGCACGGGGGTGGAGAGATCCTCCAAAACACAGTCTCAGGGAAAGCTGGGGTGTGAATGATGTCAAGAGTATCAGTGACAATATGGCTTTAAAAAGATGGAGATGACGAGCAGGAATGAAGCCTTAAGGGCAACAGTTAAGGAAGTGGCAATGAGTCCCAGATATACACCCCCCTGATCAGGACATCAGACTGGAAATGATACCAGAGAGATGTCATTGTGGATATTTATTTTATCAAAGGATCATACAGAGATAGAAATACTGTTCTTAAAAGTTAGATTTAAGGATCATTTATTTACTAAAAATCATCACAGCTTGGCTTGTGAGGTTTCCGGTATGTATTTAAGCTTTATCCTGGTTCCACTTTTAGCTTTACAATTTTAGTTTTACCTTTGTCTGAACCCAGATAATGGTTTAGCTTTGGACAAAAGATGAATAATTAAGACAACTTTTAAGTTCCATCCCCCAAAAGCTGACTCACTTCCCCCTAGAAGAGTTGTTAGAAAGTTTCCCAAATAAATATTTCAGGAAGTTTCATGTTAGTATAATCCTCCAGAGGAAGCCAAGAAGTATTTATTTGGCTACATAATATATAATGAAAAAGAAAAAAATTCCCAACCTTTATAATTAAACCTGCTAGTATTAACATTTTATCATTTTTCTTCAAAGGTTCTTGATGTGGTTAACTGTGTTAACTGAGAGTGGTTGCGTCTCCATGAAGTGAATTCCTAAATAAGGTGATTAAAAGATAATTGAAGCTACTTGTGGAAAAAAAGGACAGATCTGTGTATGTTGGGAAGACTTCACAGAGTGGGGGGAGACTGGAACGTGATGATAATCTCATGTGACCTCCTGAGTAACATGGACAGAAGCATTTCAGTGCTATTTTTGCAATGGAAAAAGAATATTCTTCCTTACACTGTAAGCAGCTACTATCAACCCGATTTCAGAATATTGCTATCCTTGTACTTTTAAAGGCCCGTCTTAGCTCACCACCAACTCTATGCTAAGCCATATAAGTCTTTGGCTTCTGATTTCTGAATCTTATACAGTTCCCAGCTTTAGGAAAAAAAATCATTTCCAGCAAGCTGAGTCTAACCTGAACATCACGATCACTTGCTGGAAAGGAGGAGCAGCTTCTTCGCTAATTAGAAATGATGACACAACAGATGGATCTAGGCTTGCTTGAAAAAGTACTTTATGCTTGTGTCAGAAAATGAAACAATGCCTTTCCCACCTATTAGTATATTCAACTATTTGTTACATATAGTGGAGACTACTCTCTCTTTCTACTGCAAATTGTAGATTTTAAAATATTGTAAAGTTTTGAACTACCAAATTATTTTGAATGCAGATCATATGTGTGTTAAATGTTCTTCAAAAGAGGCCAGCCTTCTCACTGCAGAGAGCAGTTTTCCATGCTGGGAGCCATCAGTACGTCATGCATTGAACATGCATAGAAATTTAAATTCAAAAGCTGTTGTCTTCGCTGTTGCCTTCATCTTTCCCTCACTGTTTATTTCTTACTGTGACTGCAAAGACATACACAAGAGCATAAGCTCTTCTGAAACCTTCAAATCATTTTTTTTTTAAATATATATGTAAGCATAGGAGCTAGTGAAAAAAAAAATTGAGATTTTTATTTAAAATGCTGCATTCACAGGGGCAGAGCCCTTCTCAAGCTATTCCTCACAGTTTTAAATAATGTGCTACTTGTAACGTGAGCTCACTTACTTCACACTATTTCATTTACAAGAAAGCATACATCCAATGTATGACACTCAGGCCCTAGGAAATTTTATATGAATTGTTACAAAGAAAATTACAGTGAAGGATTATCGCTACTGGATATCACTAACCTATCATCCAGACAAGAAGACCAATGTGGAAGGTGAAAACGTGCAGATTAGATCTACTAGTGTTGCCTTCCTCCTTCAGCACAGATGATAACAGTTCTGTGAGGCTAATAAAAACTATTGCCAAATAACAACCTGTCTACACAATATATAGTGGCAAATAACTTGCGGAAATTCAGAAGAGAGTTTTCAAAGCAGTTGTTCTTAATGCAGCTGGCCTGGCTTCTGCCACTGAACAGAACTTGAAGTGTATAATTGTTCTTGTACTGTAACTATTTTTCCCATATAGAAAATATTTGGTTATACAGAATACATTGACAGCATTCTGGTTTTAAGGAAGACACTATTGTTAAGTGAGTGGAAAAAGTAGACTAGCATTGAGCTGAATCAGTTTTTCAGTCCAGTGTTAGACACTTGGAAGTAAATGTGTAAGTTCATAGCAAATGTCACTCCATTTAGAAATGACTGTTTTGAACACAACAACTGCTGAAGTTTTCTCTCTTAAAATTATCATAATTTGGTCAGTACCTGGTCAGTATCAGAGTTGAACAAAGATGAAGAAAGTAGAGGAGTAGAGGAAGAAATCCAAGTAAAAGTGCTTAAAAGTCACCTTGGAGCCTCATCTCATTGACTATAGCTGACTTCCATGTATTCTTGGTTACTGAGTCTAAATTAACTTGTGTCAGTAATTGCGTTGTTATTGATATCCTCTGGAGGATCAGTTATTCCTTAGCTTTGGCTGCAGATCATGAATTCCTTCAGACTTACCAAATCCAAAAGCACTGGAACCACCAACACTCTGGGAAGCCTGAACACTGGTAGAGGTGTAGAGCCCAGTCACCAGTAAGCCATCAAAGAAGGTACTCGTCGAAATAGTCACTGAAATGAGAGAAATAAAATACGTGTAATTATTTACAAGTGGTATTTTAAATCTTACTATGAGGAGACTCTTGTCATTTAATTAGATACTGGCTACACTTTTCGTACAGCAAATTTGCCTATTTCTCCCAATACTTATGACACTTCAGTGACTTTAAATTGGCTTTCCATGTAATTTTCCCAAACAACTTGCTCAGCATTCAAGCTGTGAGTGCCAAATTTCAGTATGCACTTTTGCAACTTCCTCAGGGTTTACTTAAAGAAAATTGACTGTTTTAGAGGTAAATGACAAGCATTTATTGGTGCTTGAGTCAGCTTCTGTTCCTGAATGAATCATAAGTCATGTACCAGTAATCATCTACAGCAGGAATCAGGCACAAATTGAGCATTACAACAGCATCTGAATATCTGAAGAGTGGTGGTGGCCATCTCTGTTGGGGAAGCTCCCTTTGCTAGCAGCAAAAGCTATAATATAAGCTAAGTATAACATAGAGACTAAATGCACAATAAGTTAGTAAAACATCATTGTAATATATGGATTATAAGCAACTGTCAAGACATTAAAATGTAGTAAAAGCAATTATATTGGATTGGCTTGTTACCGATACTGTTATCAAACATTATGGTATTGAATGCATAAGTTATTGGAGAAGCTGAGTCATTATAAATTATATGCATTTAAATAACTCATGAGTGTATTTCAAAGACATTTTTACATAGTAACAGTAAAGTAATAATCCAAATAACATGTACAAGTAACAACAGATATTCCTTGTTAAAACTGACAGTGCTTGCAATACCTATTTCTTATAAACACTAATTCTCATGCTTTTATTTTGCTATCTTTCATATTATATAGCTGTACACATACTACCAGCTTCAGTAGTTCTATCCTGGAAATATCTGAACTATTAAGTGATGGGTTTTTCCAGAATATACAGGCAATACTCTCTATGGTCAGAATAACTTCACTGACTTCCCTCGGCAGCACACAACCTTTTTTGCATTAATATAATATTAATATAATATTAATAATCTCCTGTCTATAATTACCTATACTGTTTTTTTACAATCTACCTCTAAATTGAAAATTAGAACAAGGAATATTTACAAAAAATATGGATTGGGTAGCTTTACAATTAAATATATTTTCTTCTCTTTTTTCTCCTGACTTTGTCTATCTAAAATAATCATTTTCTACATTATTTGTTATAAATCTTGACACATATTTATTTAAATATGGATATTTGCCAATCTAAGGCTTAGCCAATGTGATTTTTTTAATTTTTTTATTTTTTGTTAAACTATATAAATTAGCAAGGACAAAGAACATGCGAGGAGATCCACACAAAAATATTTTCCTGATGAAGAAGTGTCCCATAACTTGGAGCCATGTACACCAAAGATGCATCAAGACCCTATTTGCCATCATGGTTCTGCTTGCATACTTTAATCCTTTCTTTTTCTCTTTTTTGTCTTAATACCTAGAGATAACTGCTTGACAGGATCTCTGATGAACTCCAACCTCTCCCTACACCATATTCCCCCTCCTCCTACTGCTCTGTGCTCTGGTGCATCACACACTGGTGACTGGATGAGGAATTCACTCACAGTGCTGTGAGTTTGAATGTATACATTCAAGCAGCACTGAAATACACGCAGCAGTGAAACTTTTTCTTGGCCCAAGCACTCATCCAGGGTTTCATCCAGGCTACATGTTTGCTTAAATTTACTACTACATATCCACAGAACACGCAAACACTGATGGTAGGTAGCTTTGTTCTGAGCAGAAGAGCAATATATACCACACTCAATTTATTCTTTAACTCTTTATATTTAATTACTTTCCTTCTTTTTATTATTTGATGGTATACTGAATAATTCTCAAATCCAACTTTTTGCTGCCAGGACTCCAAATTTCAGTGTTTTATTATACACATTTCCCCTGAAAGCAGATAGCAGCTTCCTTGAGCAATATGCTCAATTTTTTTTTTTTTTACAAAGTCATCTCTTCTAAGGTATATGTTAAATGAGCAACAAAAGCAAATAGACTTTTAGAAAATAAAAGAAGTATTATGGAGGGAAGAAGAAAATCAAGCAAGCAAACAATGAATTCTTCCTTTCTTTGATGATGAAGTGGTGAATAGCACAGAATATTCTCTCTTCCCTTTGTGCTTTTAAAGCAACAAAAAGACAAAACATATGTTGAAAAAATATGCCTGTGCATTATTTCTGAAGACTTGGCAAAACAGTCAGCAAAAAGCATTCATAGAAGGGCACTGGGCCAGTACTTTGCTGCCATTTTGTTTCCCCATGGGGAAGCATCTTATTCTTTTCTGAATAGGATATAATGCAAAACCCTACTGGGAACAGGTGACCAGTTTCTCTGGGAAAGAAGTGATATTTTACAATGCGTGTATTTGATTTTGGACATATTCATGTGATTGTCAGCCCTCATTTTACATGAGCATGTAATAGGTCAATTTTTATTGTTGAAAAATTTCCAACACAGTATGGCTCCCTCATTAAGCCTCTGGGAAACCACACAATGCCTATAGCACATTTTTTAAAAACAGAGCACTAGGCTGTTATTATACACGTGTCATACATTTCAGAATAATTTCATAGTCCCTCAAGAAGAAAAAAATTAATCTTGACAATCTCAATGATGATTTTTTTCTCTATCCAGTAGTGAAATACATCAGGTTCCCATAAAATGAAAGAAAGCACACGCAGTGCCAAGCGCTAACAACCAAGAGCAGCAAAGCTGTGCTAATGCACAGCCCAGCAACAGGACTGCAGCTTTATGTCAAGAGTAGGGCTTGACTGAGGACTCCCTCTTTCCCCTTTCAAGATGAACAGAAATATTTGTGTGAGATCTCCTCCACCAGGCATTATCTGCCTGTACCCCAGCTCACACCACATGCAGTTGATGCCAAACATCCGGTACTTTGGAAGCAAGGAGCAATGCAAATGTCATCCTGGACCTTGGGCAACATATGGAGGGGCAACATCTGGAGAAGCACCAGGCTCTGGGTGCACAGTGGGCAGGAGAGGGCTGGCACAGGCCCCTACCCACCTGGCAGCACCTGTGGGCACACAGCTTCAGCAGCCCCAAACAAGTCTCTAGACAGCTCTGTGAAATGGCTGTCCTCAGATAACCAGTGATGGGGACTGAGAATATCTTCCTGTGAATGATGTTCTCAAGGCTCAGATCGACAACAGCATGATGCAAATATTGGAGGTGGCACTGATAACTGCTACTTTAACAGTTACCCAATATTTTCAGTCATAAGGCTCTATTTTCAGATCCTGAGATCTTTGCCAATTTTACCCTTCTGAGTTTTGTTGTTTTTTGTTTTTAATAATAATCATTTTTAACGGTGTCTGCTTCATACCAATTTAAAGATTTGAAGAAGAAACTTCAGTCAAAACACTTCACTTATTTCTGAGATGAGGTTAGAGAAATAGGTTGTGTTACCCCAGCTGAAAAAATTGCAGTGTCCTTCATTCCCATCAGCTCCTTCTCCTCAAAGCTGGGAACTGACATGTTGAAAGGGTATGGCCTCGGTACAAGAGCTGTCCTCCAAGTTAGAAGTTTCTGGAGATTGTATCCTCATTAGAACTCTCAGAACACTTTCTGATTTGAGTGCTTATTAACAGACGCTGGAAAAAAACCTGTGAAAGATCTTTCAACCTGGCAACCCTGCCTTGTTGGAGCAGGAGAGCTTCCTGGAGCTTTCAGCTCCAGCCATGTTTTGATCTTGGAAGTTTCTTAGTGTTTTAAAGCAGAAAGTTGTAGCTGCTGGTTGGAAAGAAAGTGGGAAAGGGAGGGATCTTAACCAAAAGTCTAAACCTTCTAATAAGAAGATACCAATTCAGCAGAATCTCGCACTTCAAAAAGCTGGAAAATGTGCAAACTGTCTCAAGATTGAAGTTGCCTCCAAAGTTTGACCCATACTATCCCCAGTAACCTTAAGTTAGGAAACACAAAAGCAGATCTGAGGACAGGAGGACAGTGCATGAACTGGGATGGGGATGGTGGTGACGCCGGGACAAGTGCAGACAATAAGGGAAGAGAAGGCTTTGGAGAAGTACTGAGAAATGATGGGTAAGAGGGGACTGTGGCTGAATAATGCAGCACAGAGAAGGTGAAAGAAAGGAGTAGACGGGATCTGTAACTGTGGCCTGGGAACACCAGTGGACAAGTTCAGTACTGGGGACTCGCACGTGACTCAGGGAAGAGATATCTGCTGCTCCACCTCCTGAATCAGATGAACAGTGCTTGAATAAAAAGGGTCTGCCCCAGAGGGGCATGGGCACGGCCCCGAGCTGATGGAGTTCAAGGAGCGTTTGGATAAAACCCTCAGACATAGGGTTTGAATTTTGGGTGGTCCCATTTGGATCCAGGAGTTGGACTCGATGATCCTCATGCGCCCTTTTGAACTTCAGATATTTGTGATTCTAATGATGGATAAAAAATGTTCCAGTCCATGAATCGCGTGGTTAGAAATGCATAGGTTAGGTGGATGACTTCAGTTTATTTTACAAAAGCTGAGAAAACAGCTCCATGAAAACAGCAGTATTTCAGGAGAAATACCACAGAAGTACCCGCTGGTGCTCCCATGCCCTGCCCTCCTTTCTGCACAATGGCTGCAGCCTTACAGCCTTTACAGAGAACGCTATTTCTGAGAATAGCAAAGGCCCCTGCCCAGCTTCCTATCCACACACACACTGTAGGTGACTGCTGAACACACCCCCAAATGCTCAGCACATACACACTGCTGTGCTCTCCTTGAGGCACACAGACCAGCCAAGCGAGCATGCAGGCCTGGTCCTGCCCCTGGGGGAAAGCAGGTGGTACTTCATGGGGGAGAGGAACCAACGCAGCCCCTTCTCTCTGCAGACTCCTCACTTCCCACAGCTGCTCCCGCCAAGCATGTGCTTGGTGCCCTGTGGGACGGCAGCAGCAGTGCCAGAGGCAATGCCATGGGCTGACA